CATTGGATTCGTCTAGTCGCGGGGAATCGAATGGTAGTTGTTTCATACGAATCGGCGCGATATTGACCGAGATCGTATATTTTTTGTTTTTTTTTGTTTTTTCTATATATAAAAAATCATGTGATATTACGTAATTTCGACCATTTCGACTTTTCATTTCGACTTTGATCTCCAAAGTCAAAACATTTCGACTTTTGGGTTTTCATTTCGACTTCATGTATAGACTCAACCATCCAGTACAGGGGGCCTGATAGCTACCTAACCAAAAATCTGACCAATACTTTCCGTATCTAAAAGAGGAAATAAAGGAAGGGAGAGAAATAAGACAAGAAGAAGAAGAAGAAGGAAATCCTGTAGAAATAAAGTTCTCTTTTTTGGAGGTAATCATGATATTCATTTGTATTTTCCAAACTCTGCATTATGATATTTCGGTCGTTTCATATGAAGGAAGCTTGTTCAAAGACATGATGATAAACCATAGACAGGAGGGAAAGAGTCATTTGTTTGTTGTTGAGAAACTCAAAGATACAATCATAGAGGTCTAGAAGAACTAATCTTTTTATGATGTTGATAAAACAGAAGTTAGAATCTTGGAGAATTAAGTTCCAAATGGAAGAGAGGCTGATGTATCTTAGTAGATATTTGGGATAGAATCCATTTCTTTAAGATCAACTAATTGAGAAAACAGTAGTTAGCGTGTGGAATAAATTAAAGTACAAATTCGATTAGAAGAGGAGGAACAAAGCCAAATGTGATTAAAATCTTCTTCTATCACAGAACATTGACAACAAAGCAAACTGGAATGATAAAGAGAAGGGTGTCATATTTTAAGGATTTCAAGTATAGGAAGCATTTCCAAGAGAAATTTGTATTTTTGTTTTTTGAGACCAGAATCCTGATAAGAAGTCGAAGAGGATGAACCATTATCATTAAGGGTAAAGGTGAATGCTAACCAATTGATAGTAATAATATTATAACGAGAAAATTGTGAAAGAGATAGAATGTCTTAAATCGAATGGATTGAAAAAGAAGCTTGATAAAGTATTTAGGAGAGGTTAAAATTGGAAATTTGTGGAAAAATATAGGGAAGTCAAGACCATATGAAATAGAATCAAGAGAAAAACTAGGACCATCCTTTTTTGCAAGAGTATCAACATCATTATTAAATTGGTCAGACACATGAGCCTTGATTTTTGTAAACGATAAAGAAATATTTTTATCCTCTATAAGTCAGAAAAATGCAAACCAAATTGGAAAGTATGAGATGTTATATAGTGGATTATTAGTTGGAAAGCACCATTTTAAGAATTCAAATTTGCCAAAATTGTCGATGACCGTTTGAGCATCTGTACAGATATTAATAAATGATGAAGTTGGGAAGACATATAAAGTAGTAAAAATGGCCATAAGTTCAGTGAGTGTAGATGAAGGTGAATTAAGAAGTAATGTGGCATTAAAAGTAATAGACAGATATAGTGAATTGGTTTGTAGCCAGGTGATCTCCATACGAACTGAAAGAATCCCTAGATTAATTAAAAATCTGTCAGTGTAGAATTGTAAGTTGGAAGCGTTAGTAAAATTAGCAGAATATGAATGAAAGCAATTGATAGAATGCTTGTCAAAATAATTAAAAAAAAGGAGAAATATTTGTAACAGAAGAAGCAATTTGATTACTTAATGGAGTAATTGAAGTTACTGGAAAAATAAAAGTAGCAAAAGCTAATTCTTGTAACATGAATGGTGATAGAAGACACTGCGTGCCTTCCAGTTTGACAATTGATGTTTTTATATTAGCACATAACTCTTTGGAATTTTTAAAAAAACAATAGCGATTCTTGCCAAACATATTGGTAGCTCTAAAAGTGGTATTGTCTTGTAAAATACATTCATTACACAGTTCAAGAATTGAGTTGAAATTATTATTGTGAAATACAATATGATGTTGTAGATAAACAGTGCCCTCAGTTATAAGTAGTGTTTTACCAACTATAGAAGTTTGGAGGCCTATATTCCAAGTAGTGGCATAATAGGTCATATTTTTCTTAAACATTAAAAGAGTAATGCTCAATTGATTACGATAAGGATTCCGCATGTGTAAAGGAATCAACCAGAATGAATACTGGTCAAAATGGATACAAATTAGACAGATGATTGATGTATGATTTATAACTGATTTAGGGCTGATTTGCATTAATTCCGATTGACACAATATGAGTCAATCGGAAATATCAATCAGTCATCAATC